ACACTTTATATTGAAGCTAAAAAATAGCGGATACGCCTGCCAAGGTTTATTTTCATCAAACCGTGATTATCCTTGCAGGCACTGTTCCTGTGCAAGGTCAGCTGCAAAACCAGCAGTAGTGTCACTCTATGCTAAAGACAAGGATAGGCACTGGTGTTTAATGCAGCCATGTCGTGCAGCCTTAGCAATATCAGCAAAACTGGAAAATTGAAGATGCTCTCGAGCGGGTCCATGAGGATTACAGTAATGCATCAATCTACCATAAAAGGATGATATTAGATTATATTACCACCTTGCCAACAGCCAATGTCCTTAATTTTGCTGCGGCGCGGTTCGCGTTCGTCCTGCAGATTCCTTGGGGAGACTACAACGTGCTACCGCTACCTCAACACAGAGGGATACCACGCAGTTTGAGGTGGAGGAGGCATCTGTGAGACCCCAAAGGAGATCTTGAAGGTGCTTTCAGTGTGGTCACAATACTCGACGTTGCCAGCAACCTCACGCACCTTCCATACATCCCTCACCCCCCGCATCTCTCTGTACTGAAAAAAATAGAAAGAGAAAAGCTCAAATAATATCTGACACAAAAATGGTTCTCTGGCGCTGATGAATAAAAAAACAATTTCTGACGGCGGCGATTTTTTGTGTGATAAAATCGAATAGTTACAGCCAATTACAGGCCTCGAAAACGAGCCTAGGGATTCTATATCGACAGGGTCGGTGGTGGTAAGCCAAAGATAAGTGCTAGTTAGCAACTCTCTCTCTTTGAAGACATTCTGCAAACTGTAACAACCTAATCTACCGTTTCGCTGTGTGTAGGTGTTACAAGCTTGAGAGAACCACCAGCATAAGTGCATTTATATTCTGCTCGCACAGCTTGTATATCTCCTATCATGTCCTGCTAATAATATCATGAATATACGCTGCTATTTCTGTTGTGTAAAGAAAGAGTTTAGACCTTCGGCGTCTGACAGCTGCTATGTAAGTAAACTGACTACAATCTATCAATTATTCAGTACATCATACGTCTTTCGTGATATTGTCTTTTGATTGAGATTTTCTATTGATGTTGCATCAAAATAAATGCAAAAGTGAGTAAAGGATTGAGCAAGACGAAAAGAAGTCGCACGATATTATTCGGACCAAGCAAACGAATATTAGGGCCTTTAAGTAAGGATACTGAACATGCCTCTATATAAATATAATGTCACATTTGTTTACGACATGAAGTTTCTCATGTTAAGATCTTACGCTCCAGTTTTCAGTACTTGCGAACAATTAACGACATCTTATCCATATCTGAAGACATGATACGCGTGCCTTCATCTGAGCATAAGGAGTACTAACGCGAACGCCCACAGCACTTTGATGCTTCTTTTGCACTGACGTACGCTTGGCTTTTGTCGCTTTCGATTTCCTCGGGATAATCTTTCGCTTAAACCAGCGTACCTTGTTCTTCTCGAACCTGCTCGTGTTTGTAATGGGGCACCCTTCGTTTGGGGTGCCACGAAACTTCATGTACACTAGTACGTGCAGAGGACGCTAATCTACTTAAACGACTCGTCCAAGTAAGGGTAAAAAGAGAACTGTATTTAAAATAGTTAAGCTATCAATATGACTCCAGTCTTTATTGAACTATATTGATCTACATTGTCGTATGACGACAACCTGCTCACCACTCATTGCGCGCGTCTAGCAGCAATTGGTGGTAAACTATGGTTGATATGTCTTATCAACCATTCTTGGAGCAGCGCATGAATATTATTTAAAAGGGGATAATATGCCTTCAATATTATCCATCACGGATAATATCGGTAGGATATTGTCATGCTAGACAATATCTCTATTGACTCCGTTTGGTGTCAATATCATGTAACGAGATACCCCGTTACATCCCCCCCCTTAACCATCAATCACTCGTTGATTGAATTGAAATTGATTGGGACAGGGTGACCACCGTTGGATCACTCTGGGAAAGGGAGCACTTTCCGATCAAATCCCATTCATTGCCAATCCAATGCATGGTTTCAAAATCCAAGCGATTCGCTACTGTAGTAGCAAGAAAGGCGGCTGCAGGAATGCGTGCAGCCGAAGATAGTACCTCTCAGACCTCAGCAGCAGGTGATTCGTCGCCTGTTGTTCTGAATCGTCCACGTGGTGAGTCACCACGTGCGACAGGTATATCCGCTGCGTCTGCAGCGGGCACCACGAGTCGTAATCCAGATGAGTCTGAGATAGAGCTCATCTATTCTGGCGAGTCGGATGATGTATCCGACTCGAAGGCGACACCCTAACGACTCCGGATAACCTGGTTCGGACACTGCAAGAGCCAGGTTGACTGGCTCTGGGGAATGTGGCGGAATCATGTCCGAGATCTTAGGACCGAGCGATTTGTCTGAATAATTCTCGCCTCTCGCTAGTCCATCCAACGATAGGACGCGTGGGGATGGTGGTGATGCACCTATAAATCACCACGAGCGAAGCAACTCGAGGGATCGGGGTGCCACTGGTGTCAGTGCTCATGCTGACACCAATAAAGAGGCCAGGGACCGAAATGTCCTGCGCCACACCCCTTAAGTGGAGTCTCCTTGGATGCCGTCATCCAGAGAGTTGGAACAATTGGCCGGCATGAATACCGAACAGGATAAAATCCCGTTGTTCGACTGTAGGAAGATCTGCCCTCCTAACTCCAGCACGGAAACTATCCGTGATGAGATAGAGTCCTTCACCAATGTGTTACTTAAGCATCAGTGTTACAATGGCAACCGTGGTCGAGACGGTAAGGCCTTGGTGCAAGGATGGAATGCCTTCATCCATAACATCGAGTGTACTGGCTGGGAGGCCTGGCTCGACAAACTTGATGCAGCTCGCATCAGGTTTGATAAGCGTGACCCAGCCCTTTACTATACAAGTTGTACTGAATGTCAAGAAAGGCAGGATTCCCATATTTCTCGTGGGGCGACCCATGTCCAGGTTGCATGGAAAATTTGAATTGTGTCCATAGGGAGGCCTACCTCCGTAATGTTCCCTACTGGAGGGCGCACATCTCTTCTGAGATGGCCAGAGTAATTGACAATTTTCAATCCCTGTACTCGCGTTTGGGGAGGCCGTTTTTCGACGGTTTTTCTTCGAACGCAGTGGGTGGGTCTCGTCATATTGCTCGACGAGACCCAGAACATCAACAATCATCTGGGCACGAGGCTTCCAGCTGTCCCAGGCCGGTAGATAGCCACGCCAGCGGACGAGATAACTCGTCCGGACGCAGTAGTTTAAAATACGCTCCACTAGAAAGCGTTGACCACCGCCAGAATCCACCAAAGGATGTAGTGGGGGCGGGAACACCTGACCCGGCTTGAGGGTCAGATCAGTTTGATGTTCAGGAACGGAACAATACAATCGACCAGTTACACGACGACCTGGCTCATGAACGGACTCGGCGTTATGAGCTTCATGAAATTGTAAAGGATAATTACAAATGCTTAGTGCACGATCGTTCAAACGATCGTGCCGCGTGGCGTTCGCGCAACTTAAGAACGAACGTTCGATTTGTTCAATTCGTTCTCTTCGTGACGAGATGACTGCAGCTTGTCGAGACATCGCTCAACTGCGTGAGCAGGTCGCTTCGCTAGTCGACCGGACTTACTCGAAGAGACGAGACCACTCGAAGGTGGTCTCGGATCTCGACTGCGGATGTGATCTTCACCTCTCGAAACGGGCTCGCACTGATAGTACGGGCGTAGACGTCCAACTTTAAACGTAGGATGCGTACGCATCTTACGGGGCAGTTCAATCGTGTATGCGTTGCCTATTCGGCACAACACACGAAATGAACTGATGTACTTAATAGGTAATTTACTGCTGTCCACGTTTGTCACTGCGTGTTTCGGTAAGTTTACTGTAGACAGTAAAACTAAGTCTCCTTCATTATGAGCAAGAACATTTGCACTTCCATGTTTGTCTGCGTTTCTTTACTTCTTGTCGATTGCATCTGCAATTTAGTCTTGAGCGAAGCGGACAACCGCTTCGCGAATCAGCGGAAATGCCCATGCTGGCTCGTCCTTGCTAGCGTCAGTGCACTTTGTGCGCATTGCTAAAAGAACGTTGTCTATATCAGTGAGGGCATCACCGTCCTCAGTGTAGCAGTCGTTGGGTCGATGCTAAATATACCCGCATCGTCGTCAGCATCATCATTGATGTCGACGTGATCGACATCGGCATCCATCACGTCGACACCATTGTCGACGTGTGATAAGCAAGAACCAGATCGGTTTTGTTTGAGCGAGTCTATTTTCCCCTTTAACTAGAGTCATGCTCTAAGAAGGCGGGTAAACGTCGATGGCGTAGGCCATTCACGAAGAATGGTGTATGCGTTGTCGACGCATGCACCGAGTTGTTGATGTCGAATTCCGCCATCGGCAAGAATTCGCTCCAACTCGCAAACGAGTGGACGTACCCTCGAATTATCTCTTCGAGGACGCGGTTATCGCGTCCGTCTAACCATCTGTTTCTGGATAGTCAGAAGTCGAAATCTTTAAACGTGTTCGAAGTGAACGGAACACGGATTGTCAGAAGTCCGATTTGAAGCGGGGGTCCCTATCGGACACGAGTTCACAAGGTAACCCGTTAAGTCGGAAGATAGTATCGATGAAGACACGAGCACAGCCCTGGGCTGTTATTGGCTCCGGTATAGCAACATGAGTACCATCTTGCTGAACCGATCAACAAACACAAGAATACCAGTATTCTGTGAGCGTCTTTGGGAAACCCGAAGACGAAGTCCATCGATATGGAATGCCATCACTCTGCCGGAATCAACAGAGTCTGCAAGGGTGCACACGATGAAGGACTAGGCTTCAACCGTTTGCAAACTTCGCAAGCGCGAATGTATTTGCGCACAAACTCATACTGGCGGGGCCAGTAGAAGTCACGACTTACGCGAGGTAAGTATTTTCTCTACCTCGATGCTCACTTGTTGGGGCATCGTGACACTCATACACGATTCACAATCGCAAATCATCATGAGCGACGGCACGAGGCGTGTCACCATTGACTGCTGTATAGTACAGCAGTCGCACGTCGTCGAGAAGATTCGACGACGGAACACTAACTGCTAGTGTCGCTACAGTGGGATCAATCCTACTGTTGGGTTGAGCAGTCGGCTCGAAATCGGGCCGACGCGAAAGAGTATCAGCGACGACATTAAGTCTTCCTGGTTTGTACTCGACGGAGAAGTTGTACTCCGCGAAGAAAAACAGCCACCTCGCCATTCGTGGCGAGAGGTGTGGACTGTTTACGGCTGTGCGTAACGAAGCGTGGTCGGTATAAACGATGAAGGGCCTATCCCGTAAGAGATGCATCCGAAACTCATCCAGTGCATATTTCATGGCGAAATGTTACTTGTCATGCACTAGGTATTTACGCTTAGCTGCTTGCAGCTGACGCGATTGAGAACAGAAGACGCGCTCAACGCCGTCTGAGTCGTACTGCATCAACGCGCAGCCGATTGCAAAATCGCTGGCGTCACAGACCACATAGAATGGTCTGTCTTGGTCTGCTATCGTCAACACAGGTGATTTTATTAAGCTATTCTTGATACCATCGAAGGAGTGCTGACACGCTGCACTCCATGACCTCCTCTCGTTTTCTTTAGCAAATGAGAGATATGCGCGGTCATCTCGGCGTAGTTGCGCGAGTACTTGTGCAACTACGCCGTCAAGCCAAGGAACTTTCGAAATCCCTTGACGTCTACTGGCACAGGCCAGTCGCTAATCGCCTTGGTCTTTTCCGGATCAGGGCGTACACCGTTTTTACCCAAGATACAACCAAGAAGTGTTATTTCGTTCGCTGCGAATCTACAGTTCTTGAGGTTCGCAAACAACTCATGCTCTCGCATAAGTGTAAGAACCTTCCGGACGTTGATTCTATGAACCTCCGCGTCCGTCTTTCCATCATAGCCCGGCTATGGACGAAGACATCGTCGAAGTAACTCGGTGCAAAGTCTCTCACCTGTCTCAACAGATTTGTAACACATCTGTTGAACGTTGCAGTGGCGTTACTTATTCCTGTGGCATTACTAGCCACTTCCAGAGATTTATGCCGCGCGGTCCTTCAGATCACCGTGGGGTGAACTGCGAGTACTCTGACTCAGTTTAAACTCCTTACAAGACCCGCACCCCTCATTACACTATGGGGCTTTTCGGCTTGTAGGGCCTCCGGACGGCACCGGCCACTCATTGATGGTTGCTCGTCTACATTATTAGCCTATCTCCGGCGCCCTGTAATCAAACCCCCACCGGGTACCGATCCAGGTACCTCCCGGTCCCAGTTCCAGTGGTCTAACACTCGGCCACTGGGGTCGGTACTAGCCATTTCTAGAGCATATCACTGGGGGTGCTCACTGCTGTGTACGGGATGTCCCGTTCATGCATGAGGATCTGATAGAATTCATCCATCAGATCCATGGAGGAAAAGATGGTACTTTTTGCCGTACCATCTATGATGACGTCCTCCCTTGGGATCGGCGTTCGAGCCGTTACCGTTGCAGCGTTCAATTTGTTGAACGCGTGCACTGTCCGTCACCCTCCTGTGGCCTTTCGCACACAGAAGATCGGAGAGCTGTGTGGAGATGTTGATTCCATCACATAACCAGCCGCTAAACGATCGGCAAAGAATTTGTCGATCGCTGTGACTTGTTCACGAGGCAGTGGCCACTGCTCCATGACACTGTACTTCGAACCGGTTTTCAGTTCGATCTCATACCGAGTGCCTTTTTCCTTGGGCAGCTCACATGGCACGGATCAGGGAAAATATCCTTGAATTCTACCAAATCCTTAAGACAAAGGATTTGTCTTTAGAGACTCCCAAGATTGAGACGTGTATCGCTCAATCCGAGTCTTCTCATCGAGGACACTCTCGTCCATCGATGAGCTACTGAGAACCCGTTCGCTCTCAGAAAACACTTGTGCCGACCGAATATCGGCAACGTACTCGTCCTTTGTGAAGAGTACATATGTCTGCTTAATCTTGTCACTACCCAGATCTCGCAAGAATCTTTTAGATTCTAGTGCTGGCAACTTGACTACCTCTGAAGCTGACTTCGGGGGTGTAACCAGATCAAGTGCATAAGCACCTACACTTGATCCGTCATTCACCAAGACATTCACTGTCTCGGTGATTTCCTGGGAAAACACATCCGCAGGTGGCTGGGGATCCACACCCTCAACATAACTCTCTCGGGAGTTATCACTCTCAGAAACGCTGGAACTTTCTTCCATTATGTGCACTGACTGTGGGCGTAATACCACAGTCACTTTCTCTTCGATCGACTCTCTTTCAGTCGATAGGGATTTCTTTATAATCGAATTTCTGATAGTCGATCTCTCTTCAACGCGTTGCTCATCCTGAACAACACTGATCTCTCTTCTTGGATGCACCCTTCTTGGTGTGTATCGGTGTCCCAGTCCACTCGATCTCTTCGAGTGGTGAACCTTCGGTGCAACCTGTGTCTCTACACAGGTGCCGGAAGCTGGTTCCACAGTGTAGTGGCCTTCTACGCTGTGATCTTGTGCAGTCGTACTAACGACCGTACCACAAGTGATGCCATCGCACTCACTCGTAGTACATCCACGCGCTTGTGGACTCTCCAAGACGTTCATCAGATGGCCATCCGATGAGCAAACGACAGGCATCTTCACGGATCGATGCTGCCAGCTAACCCATGGCTGGTATATTGTAATCCATGGGTGGTATTTTCTAAGCCATGGCAGACCGAGGATGACATCAAATTTGTCATCCAGACAAAGTGCGATGAAGTCATCATCGTACTTCTTTCCTTCTATCGTGTCGTGGATTCCCACTACACGTTTGTTCACTATTACGGATGCGCCTGTAGCAAGGCGCACCGTCATCCTCGTTGGAGGGAACTCTCGCTCAACATAGTTAAGCCTAATATCCTCTAGCGACTGGCGTCGAATAAAAGTGTTCGACGCCCCACATTCAACTAGGGCACGAAGTGACATTCCACTTGTTACTTCGATCTTCAAAGTGATAAGGGACACCTCATCACTAGGGGAAGTAACACACAGCGACTGTGTGTGTTGGAAGCAATCTTCGTCAAAAGTCCTGCAAATTCTCTTGACGTTGCTGAATCAGCAGGGTGCTCCGCCCCTACTGAACCTGTCCGTTTTGTGACGGTCCGACTTACTGTCGTGACGACATGGTTGGACCCACGCCTCGGACCTTTCCTTGGCCAACGGTGGTCATCACGTCCTGTCTTTGGACGTATTGCGGTGCTTGGTGTACAATCTTCTGACAGCGATGGCATCTTGCAGTTCGCTTGTGACTCAGAGATCGAGGGTTCTTGCTCTCGATATAACAGAGGCCCATTGTTTCGATACCTCCGGTTTTCTGCGGTCTCGTTGGACGATAGTTTGACGAGTTAGCCTGGGACTGTCTCAGGCTGAAGTCTTCTTGTTCCGCATACTCTATCGCCTTTTCCAGCGTATGGAAGTCCTCTTGGAACATGTGGGTCTTCACCGGTCCATCTACGAGGCCGTAGATGAACACGCTGATGAGTGTGTGATCATCAACAGGGTTTTCCGTAGCGCTACTCGCAAGGAAGCGCAGGTGCTGTGCGTAAGCGTGCACGTCACTCTTACCTTGCTTTAGCCCCAAGAGTGCAGAGGTGCTCTGTACTCGACTCTCGGAGGCTCAAACGTCTCTTTGAGCCGAGACTTCAAGATTGTTATAAAGACTCAAACACGTTTGGGTCGTGAAGATTGAGACCTAAGGCCCAAGTCTTTGCTCGTCCTGTCAAATTGGACAGGGCGAAGGTAACTTGCATGTCGTCGTCCTCGATGTGACGGGCTCTGATGGAATCGTCTAACTCGACGAACCTTCTCAAAAGGGAATCTTTATCGGTTCCCTTGTACCTTGAGATATCAATCTTCAAGGTTCCGGGTCGACGCATGTGCTCGGCCCACCCATCGAATGGTGCGAGCCTTGCTGCTGTAGCAAGGCTATCTTCTGTCGTTCGACGGCAAGTTCAGCTTGTAGGAACTTCTTGATAGCAGCATGTTGCTGGTCTCTGCTTAGAGACTCCAACATACCACTGATGGCAGGTTCGCCCATGAGCACACTCATGCGGCCGACTACCTCCCATTCTGAGTCACTCAGATACGAGTAGCCTTCACGCGTGACGTGAAAGATATCGTCTTCTATGTACAACATGTTCATGATGACGGACACTAAGTAGTCGTTGGACGGACTACGAAGTGCTACCAGGTGTAACGGGGCACCCTTTGTCTGGGTGCCACGAAACTTCATGTACACTAGTACGTGCAGAGGAAGCTAATCTCCTTAAACGACTCGTCCAAGTAAGGGTAAAAAGAGAACTGTATTTAAAATAGTTAAGCTATCAATATGACTCCAGTCTTTATTGAACTATATTGATCTACATTGTCGTATGACGACAACCTGCTCACCACTCATTGCGCGCGTCTAGCAGCAATTGGTGGTAAACTATGGTTGATATGTCTTATATCAACCATTCTTGGAGCAGCGCATGAATATTATTTAAAAGAGGATAATATGCCTTCAATATTATCCATCACGGATAATATTGGTAGGATATTGTCATGCTAGACAATATCTCTATTGACTCCGTTTGGTGTCAATATCATGTAACGGGATACCCCGTTACACCCTATATATTCTCTTTCGACGTTGTAAAATTCTGTCTTCGGTAATTGTCAGTATGACGTCATCGGTGACTTGTGCATCATAAGCTCACCTGCATGACACGCTTTACGTCCTCCCCTTGGGTCACGTCTGAGGTCCTATGACGTTGCTAAGTCGGCTATAGGGTCTGGCAATCTTCGGCTTAAACAACTGTCACTCATATGCCAGGTATTTCTTCTGAGCACTTCAAGTTGGGTCAGTGGGTCAGATAAAGTGGGCTTCCACTCAAATGGGCGAGCGTGTTTCACATCTTATATCTTACCCGCTTATAAAGAGAACGGTTGCCAAACCCCTTAATAGTTTGAGTTGTTTGGAAACACCGTGACTCGTATATAGAGGGTGTCTCTAATAAAGACTCCTTTATAGGGAGGGGCGAGTGTAACGGGGCACCCTGAAGCTTGTACTGATGACAGTACAAGCTACTTATTCTGACGACAGAATAAGGCCGTGCCTCGGAACTTCACGTACACTCGTACGTGCAGAGGAAGACGGTAAGAAGAAGCGAGTACTTAGTTTAAGTAAAAAGTAGAACTGTATTTATCATAGTTAATGTCTGTAAATAAACCACTATTTATCCTCATCTAACTATGTCTGAATACAAATGTGCATATCAACTATCTGCTCACCACTCATTGCGTGCGTCTGTCGTGGCGCGTCTTCGTTGGTTGATATAATGGCCTATATCAACCAATTAGGAACTACTCGTAAGTGCTGCAGAATATTTGTCCTTATGACAATATTCTGAAAATATAACTCTTATAGTTATATTAAATTAACAATTTCTTATAAATTGTTATGTAACGATTCACCCCGTTACATCCCCCCTTAACCATCAGTCACTTTAGTGACTGATTGACTAAATGGATACTCGTCCCAAATCATTTGGGACAGGGTTTGCACTTGTTGGTCCGAGTCCACTTTCCAACAATTCATCGCATGGATAACAATCCCATGCGGTGCGCGAGCAAGGCCGCCGAGAGCGCGTCCGCACGTCTCTGTGCGGACGCCGAAGCAGAAACCACAGCAACTGATGTCTCATCGGTTGCTGAAGCGACTCAGCTTGTGTCTCCTGGTGATGCAGGCGCTCGTCATGAAGACACTCATGTCTTCACAGAGTATGAGCTCGGTGTCTCATACTCTCCTGATACGGAAGACGGATCCGTATCGACGGCGATTGAATCCAAGCTGCCTGCCAAGCATGGCATGGATGATGCTATGTGTCGCAGCATCTTTGGTTAGTCTGATGAATCAGATGAACCATCGCCGAAGCGAAGGCGCTCGAGGTCGCGAGACTCGGGCGCTAACAGCGGTGTCGGTTCTCCTATTGACACCACTTCGCAACGAGGTGCCAGTCCTTCTGTCGGCACGTCGCAAGAAGAGCGGGACCGCAGTGTGTTGCGTCTCGCTCGCGAGAAAAAAGCATGGATGCCTCCAAAATCCGTCATGGATCACTTGTCGGCGACGACGAGTGATCGTTATCGAACACGGTTGTTCGATTCGTCAAGGATCCATCACCTTGACCCCAGTGCGAAAGTCTATCGCGCTGAGAATGATTTCTTCATCGATGCTTTCTTTAAACATCGATGGTACAGTGGGAATCAAAAAACATGATGGTCCCTCACTGCTTCAAGCGTGGAACGCCTACATTTATAACCTTGAGGATGTAGGTCGTGACGTTTGGAACGACAAACTTATCAAAGCTCGTGATAAATTTGAAAAACAAACCCCGACAGGTGCACGCTACAAGCTGCATCGTCTGTCTAGGGAGAGTGGGTTATCCTGTCTCTCCTGGGGAGCCTCGTGCCTATGTTGTGTGAACAGCTCTGCGCGCGCACCTAAGGAGGCTTACCTCCTTACTAGCCCGTGGTGACGCGTACGTATCTCTAGTGAGATGTACGAAGGGATTGACAACCTGAAATCCCTTTACGACCGTGACGGGAAGAATTTCTCCAGCGATCCTTCTGCGGCACAGGATGTGCCGCGTCGTAATGCTCGACCAGACCCAGTACGTCAACCATCAGTTGGGAGCGGGGCTCCCAAGTATCCCAGGACGGGGGATAACCGCGCCACCGGACGAGGTAACTCGTCCGACGTCCGTTCACATCGCGGTGGTTCAACAGCTGCTCAACCAGATAGCGCTGGCCACCACGAGAGTCCTCTAATGGAGGTGGAGGAGGAGGGAAGACGCTCTCCAAACTATCGTGGGGAAGCGTGTATCCCCGAGAGCCTCTTTGATCGCGCAACGCAAGCGTTACGCGGCGATCTCGAACATGAGCGGGACAGGCGTCTCCAACTGGCGGACACTGTCTTGAAGCATCGAGCTGAGTTTGCCTTTGCTCAGCTTGAGAACGAGAGAGCTCTGACATCTCTTCGTGACGAGCTAAGGGTAGCTCGTGTGGATATTGACCGGTCTCGGGCTGAGATAACTGCTCTTCAGACCCTTGTCGATGTCCACCATCGGGAGCGCAAGGCTCTCTGCAAGATGCTTGAGCGCAAGGGCGTTTTTCGTCGGAAGAAGCAGCGTACTGATGGTACGGCTTAAGCCGACCAACGTAAAACGTGGGATGTGTTCGCATCTTACGTGGTAACTCGATCATGTATGCATTGCCTCGGCGGTGCAATACACGAAATGGGCCGATGTAATTGGGTAGAAGTTTACTACTACCCAAGTTAGTCACTACATGCTTTGGTAGATTAACCGTAGACAGTAGGAATAAGTCACCTTTATTAAATAAAAGAGTGTTTGCCCTTCCTTCTTGTCAGCGTTTTGCTTTTGCTTATCCACCGCTTCAGCGATGGAGTCTTGCACAAAACGGACTACCGTTTCACGAGCCAGTATATATTCATCTGATGACTCGTTAGCTTCAGTGCGCTGTGAGTGCACTGCAGCAACATCAATCTTTACTTCAGTGAGGGCTTCCGCAATCTCACTGGCATCATCTTCTTCGATATCGATGTTATCGATATCGGCATCAAACGCAATGACCTCTTCGTCCAAGCGTGATGAGCGTGAACCAAATCGGTTTTTGCTCGCGCGAGTCCCTCCCCCCCTTAAACCAGAGTTACACTCTAGTAAGGTGGGTACACGCGGATGGCGTAAGCCATTCACGTAAAACGGTGTATGTGTCGTGGACGCATGTACCGAGTTGTTAATGGCAAACTCTACCATTGGCAAGAACTCACTCCAACTCTTAAAGGAGTGTACGTATCCTCGAAGTATCTCTTCGAGGACACGATTTGCTCGCTCCGTCTGACCATCTGACTCTGGATGATCAGATGTCGACATCTTCAAGCGCGTTCCGAGCGATTTGAATACGGAACGCCAGAAATCAGCAGTGAAGCGTGGATCTCTGTCTTATACTAGTTCACGGGGCAACCCATGAAGTCAGAAGATGGTGTCGATAAAGACACAAGCACATCCACTTGCCGTGATTTACTCGGGTACAGCCACAAGGTGTACCATTTTGCTGAATCTGTCAACAAATACGAGAATACCCGTATTCCCGCGTGTGTCTTTGGAAAACCCGAAGACGAAATCCATTGAGATGGATTCCCAGCACTCAGCCGGAAACGGTAGAGGCTGTAAAGGTGCACGCAGTGAAGGGCTTGACTTCAATCGTTGACAGACTTCGCATGCGCGAGCATACTTGCGCACAAACTGATACTGGCGGGGCCAGTAAAAGTCTCGCCTCACCGTGAGATATGTTTTCTCTCGGCCACGATATCCTCCTATAGGGGCATCGTGATACTCGAACACGATCCACAAACGCAGATCAGTATCATTTGGGATGACAACACGTGGTGTGTCACCAGAAACGGCTGTATAATACAGTAAACCGTTGCGAGTAGTGTATCGATCTGATGCAGATCGATACGCAGACGACAATCGTTTCAACGATTCTCGAGATGGTTGGGAGGGATGTGTCAACAACTTCACTATCTCACCATCTTGGGCGTATGCCCGCCTCACATCATCATACAACGTTGTAGATGGGACTGAGGACGTCATAACCGCAACAGTGACTGTCTCACTGTTGGGTTTCGCGACTGTTTCAAAGTCGGGACGACGTGAGAGTGCATCAGCAACGACATCAAGTCGTCCTGGTTTGTACTCTACCGTAAAGTTGTATTCTGCAAAGAATGACAACCACCGCGCCATTCGTTGTGAAAGGTGCGGGCTGTTTACTGCCGTGAGTAATGACGCATGGTCAGTGTAAACAATGAAGGGCCTATCTCCTAATAGATAGACTTTAAACTTCGCGAGTGCATACTTCATGGCAAGGAGTTCCTTTTCATGCACTGGATAGTTCCGCTCATCTGGTTGCAGCTGACGCGACTGATAGCAGACGACGCGTTCAACGCCTTCGAGATCGTACTGCATTAATGCACAGCCGATTGCGAAATCGCTGCCATCACAGACCGCATGAAATGGCCTGTCCTGATCGGCAATTGCTAGGACTGGGGACTGTATCAAGCTCTGCTTGATACCATCAAAGGAGCGCTGACATTCCGCGTTCCATAACCAAATCTCGTTCTTTTTCAACAAACGAGAGAGGTGTACAGTCATCTCGGCGTAATTGCGTGAATACTTATGCAAATACGCCGCTATCCCAAGGAATTTTCGAAGACCTTTGACATCAACCAGCACAGGCCAGTCGGTGATCGCCTTGATATTTTCGGGATCAGGACGTACTCCGTTCTTACCAACGACGCACCCAACAAGTGGTATTTCGCTTGCTGCAAATATACACTTGTTGAGGTTGGCATACAGTTGATGCTTTCGCATGATTGTAAGAACCTGTCGGACGTGGTACCTGTGAACCTCAACGTCCGACTTTCCATCCATAGCTCGACTATGGATGAATACGTCATCGAAATAACTCGGCGCGAATTCTCGTACTGGTCTCAACAGATGTGATACACATCTGTTGAACGTGGCTGGGGCATTACTAAGCCCTTGTGGCATTACTAGCCATTCCCAGAGCATGCCGCTAGGTGTGCTCACTGGGGTATAGGGTATGTCCCGTTCTCGCATAAGTATTTGATAGAAGACATCCATCAAATCCATGGACGAAAAGACGGTACTCTTTGACATACCATCAATGATTACGTCCTTCCTTGGTATCGGCGTCTCAGCCGGTACCGTTGCAGCATTCAACTTGTTAAATGCATGCACAATTCGCCACCCTCCTGTTGCTTTTCGCACACAGAAGGTCGGAGAGCTATGTGGGGAAGTTGATTCCCTCACATGGCCCGCAGCTAAACGATCGGCAAAGAACTTGTCGATCGCAAGTAATTGTTCACGAGGCAGTGGCCACTGCTTCATGACACAGTACTTCGAGCCTGATTTAAGCTCGACCTCGTGTCGAGTACCTTTATACTTCGGCAACTCGCACGGAACAGTTTCAGGGAATACATCCTTGAATTCAACCAAATCTTCATAGAGAGAATTTGTCTTGATCGATTTCCACGATTAGGAGTCATATCGCTCAACTCGTGTCTTTTCATCTAGGACACTCTCGTCCATAGATGAACTACTGAGAACTCTCTCGTTCTCAGTAAACACTGTTGCTGACCTTTAGTCGGCTACGCACTCGTCGTCAGCGACGAGTACGCAGATCTGCTTGACTTTGCCACTACGCAGATCACGCAAGAACCTTTTATGTTCGAGCGTTGGCAACTGAGTGATCTCCGAAGTCAACTTCGGAGGCGCAATCAGATCAAGTATATAAGCGCCTACACTTGATCCGTCATAGACTAGGACATTCAATGTCTCTGTCATTTCCTGGGGACTTATTCCCTTAGGCCTCGAAGGACTTATTCCTTCGGCTTCCCGGGGACTTATTCCCTCGGGTTTCGGGGAACTTATTTCCGCCGTATTTGCAATATCGGGACTTATTCCTTAACTTCCTCTGGCTGTGCTTGCGCAACCACAGCGAGATCCTCTACGAAAGACTCTTCAGTCGATCTAGGATTATCGTTTTGCTTAACCTGAGCGATCGATTGTTTCTCTTCTCGATGTTCCCCGCTAGGGATACATCTTTGTCCCGGTCCACTCGACTTATTCGAATGGTGGACCTTCGGCGCAGCCTGTGTTTCCTCACAGCCGCCGGAACTTTGCTCCGAAGTGTAACCGTTTGGTACACTAAGGTTTTGTGCAGTCGTACTAACGACCGTACCACAAGTGAGGCCATCGCACACACTCGTAGTACATCCACACGCTTGTGGACGCTCCAAAA